TTTTAAGGCTCTGAGAAGACCTACAACAAACACTAAACTTCATGAAGCAGAATATCTAACCTACCTACCACATAGCAGAGGGAGCCATGCTAATAGATGTCTAACAATTATTAAATAAATGAATGAGTGAATGGAAAGGGTATCTAACTTTTTTTTTACTTATTAATTTCTTATTTTTCACGGAATATCTATTAATATACTACAAAACTAGGGATCTACAGAATAGCATACAATAAATGGTTGCCTGTGTCTTGGCCATACCATATATTCAGTTGAGTTAGGTGACTTGAATTCAATTCTACCGCCAACTTACTGGTAAAAGTTTAACAAATTCCTGTATTTTTTTAAGTCCAGCTTTTTCGTCTGCAAACTGAGTGGTATAGTCACACTTCTCAGATCTTAACAGGAGAAGAACATGTTTCCTTTTCTTAACATCTCTTTCCACTTCCCTTGCAGCTGAAGAAAGACCAACCCCTTGAGGCAGATGAAGTGACTGCAAATATTCAAAGACCATCCAGAAAATCAGTCACTAAAATGCTATGTGAGTCCTCCGTTTTGTGCTCGTTTCTTGTTTTTTAAAGCAGAGGAGTGGCATTTGTTACTGACAAAGTGCTGCTTGCATTAGGATCAAAATTCTCCTGAAACATAACATCCTGCTCTGGTCTTCCTTGCCTTACTTACTCAAGCATCTAGGACTTGTCTCTTTTGTTCTATTTCAGTTTTTAAACCTCAGAACAACACACTAAATTGCATGTATTGTAACACACTCTGTGTGGTGTGTGGTCAATCACATCCACACTCTGAGCCTTTAAGCATTTTTTCCCCTCTAAAATGAGCAGGTGGTTTGTAACCCATTTTATGTTATAAATTTCCTTTAAAATATTACAAAAACCATGAATTCTCTACTCAGAAAAGGTACAAATGAACATACATCAAATGTTTTACAATCCATTTCATGGGATCATGAACCCCCTGATAGCCATGCTTAGACCCCATGGGATCTTTTACATCCAGATTAAGAACTCTGGCTAAGAAACATTCTAAGTAGTCATTCCCATTCTATTTTAAGAAAAGATGTCTAAAAAAATATCCAGCCACTGATCCACACTCTTCCAAAAGAATGTTATAAAAATATATGATCCTGCATCAGTCTAATGAGACACCGAACAATGAGAGAAAGTAGATTTATAACAATCCTTCCGAGCCAAACCTGAGGTTTGCAAGAAGCAAATCCTCCAGGCTAATATGCATATGACACACTGGCTATAACTATGTGATTTCTGTGAACAACAGCAGAAAAGGCTGTAAAGTCACTAAAGTTTATTTTTTTGACTCTACTAGTCATCTTCTAGGAAATTTCTTAGCCCCTGTTAGCACCTGACTTTCCCTAAGAAATCCAGCATCTTCACTATTTCTCCCCCTCTCTCCTTGATCATAGTCTCTCACAAGAAGACGTGAAGTGCACCCACATTAAAGTCACAATGATAAAATGCATTGTAAGGTATTTGCCTTTGGATGCAGAGGCTTTAATTTTAATAGGAATAAAATTTTTAATTTGGGAATTACAGGCAGTAGGCAAGCAGACCAGGGACTTTTTTCTTGAGGGGAAGGGATCAATTCAGAAGAATCTTCCAGATACTCCTGAAACCACATCGCAGGCAGGCAGCTTACTCTATTTAATGCCAACAGGAAACATATGTACCGGTTACTACCTAAAACGTCAAATGTGCTCCCGAGTACAGAGAAATGTAAAATGAACAGCAAAGTACCCATTACCCAGATTTAAAAGTTGTCAGCTCAGAGCTAATGTTATCTTATAAATCCCTCTCTCTCCCTTAGCATCTATAAGGTTTTTCTGAGGCAAATTTCAAGTCCAACTTTAAAGAACACCAAATTGCTTGAACCGACTCGTTTTACTTATATAGTCAGTTTATGTGGTTCCAGTAGTCCACTTGCAACATAGCTTACCTTTCCCCAATTGACTGTTTTCAGAATTTTGAATGCATTCAATACTACTTTAAATATTCTAAAGGAAACTTACATTATACAAGAAATCTTGTACAATCACATGGAAAAATGATTCTAAATCCTATAAAATTCATTCTTACGTTTGACTATTCTTTGTAGAGGCTCTTGAGGATCTAGCTGGCCTTTAACAACTGAAACTTAACAAAGATGGAGGGGAAAATGCTAGAAGGAATGGATGAACTCCCTGTGGGCACTGTATACCTACTCTTGCTTTGATTGCCTTTTGTCTCCCATTCATCATTCTTTTCCAGTTGTCTTGGTCTTAGTGTTTGCTGTTTGTTGGGCCCCATTCCATGTTGATCGGCTCTTCTTCAGCTTTGTGGAGAAGTGGACTGAATCCCTGGCTGCTGTGTTCAATCTCATCCATGTGGTATCAGGTAAAAGTTTTGCTTCTTCAGTTGCATCACCAGTGTCCAGGTAAGCTCAGCTTTTTCACCTGGCTTAGAGTGGTAGGTTCTATCTGCATATACCGATTTATCCTGGGGATCTGCCATGCTATTATGAAGACACTTGATTTTTATTTTATTTAAATACTGATTAGGTATGTCACTGGTCCAAAAGAAATACAAGACAGTACTATCTTAGACACTACTTTGTGAAAGACCTCAACTCTAAGCATGATGATTACAGCAGGAAAATGGTCTAAGGAACGATTCCTTTGGTTTGCCTTCCAACGGCCACATGATTGAATGATTAGCTCAAGGACATCCATGTCCTTGAAATCTCATATTGTCTTTAGCAAGTGTTAGATCCTCATGAAAACCAACCAAAGGGTCTTTATGTAACATCAAGGTCTGCTTTTAGGCTTCTTTAATGCAGCTCACTAAGGACACTAGAGTATGGTGGATAGTGGTGCAAAGGTTGCTAAGTCAGAGGCCCTGGATTTGCATCTCAATCGCATCATTAATATTCTGAGTGATACACAGAATGGGGCTTCCTTCCTGCCAAAGTTCCCTCAACTTTAAAAAGGCAATAATGCCTGCTCTATACACACCATGGGCTGATGGTATGAAGCAAATAAAATAATAGCTATTAAAGAGCTTTTTAAGCTGTAGCATGCTATAGTATATCCTTCTATAACCATCACAAATTTGTAAAGTAGATATTATCAGATTTTATGGTTAAAAAACAGTTCCACAAAGAAGAAATGATTTGTCCTACTCAGTTAGCAAATAGTAAAAACTAGGTTCAAGCCTGAGTCATCTCAAATGTAGGTTTCTTTCCCCTAATTTAGGAGCAAAGGATGGCCATCCAAGTCCCCCTTTCTCAGTCAGTTTAACTATCAGCCTTAGGTTCAGACCCCTACTATCCCTCTATCTCTGCTAGTCATTGGCTGGTTCTATGGACTCTTTAGATTATTAAGGACACAATTAGAGAGGAAAGGTAAGATCAATGTGTACAAGTTAATCTCCAGATATGCACAGAGCAAAACCAAGAGCATTTATGTATACATTTATGGGTATCACATATATTATCTATTTTCTATCACTTTCTATCACCTTCTTATTGTACTCAGCAGTAGTATACAGTTTATACCCAAACATTAAGACTTTGCTCCATGTTAAACTATTTATTATTCTGGACAAAAACTCAAAAATATTTACAGCTCTTATCTTTGTGGTTAGTCTGAGAAAAACTGGAGTGTTAAATAAGCAAAAACACAAGATCACATGAGACGTGACTAGCTGACTATACCCCTCCAGATGCATCACGACAACCATGTTAGGATTCTCCATTTGTGGCATTTAATATAACATTTTCTTGTTAAGGTATAACTTCTCCCTCCCCAATCTGGCCAATCAGATGATGTCTAAATCTCTTAGGTGCTACCAAAACAATGCCCCCAACTTGCCGTTTGATCCTCAAGTAACAGTATTTTCACTCATAAACCATACGTTTGTCAAACTGTGAATTAGGGGTTTCTGAACATTCTGTCTTACTCCTATTCCTGCCTCTGCACATCTGTATATGCTACGCCTTCTACCTGAAGCACTCTCTCCTCTCTTCCCCAGTATCTTCAACCCATTTCAGCATCTGGCTAGAATCAAATCAACCCCATTAAATTTTTCATAACCATCACAGTTTTTGTGTTTATGCCATTATGTGTATTTCCATAACATGACTGTTGGTATCACATACTCTGCTCTCTTCTTAAGAGGTATCGTCTGGTATCATCCTTTCGCTAATTACTGAAGTGAGGCACAAATCTTGTTTCTGTAATACTATCTCAAGTCCTTGGAGAACAAAGTCTAAATTCACTGTCTTCCAATGTGCCTCAAAGTTTCTGGCACACAATAAGAGTTTGATCAGTATTTATGAATTGAATGAATTAACAGTCTATAGCAATATCCCCCTCCTCTATTCCTCCCTGCCCAAGTCTGTTCACAGGGCACATGGCACCCTGAATGTCCTGAACTATACAAATGAGGACAATAATGAATATGCTAAGGACACTACCTATCACTTCTTTTATATTCCTAGTTATTCTCAGCCCCTCTGTGGATAGTATTTCAATTTTATCCTCACAATAAACAGGGAGGTGGGTTAGAATGGTATTATCATTCGCACTGCACAGAGAAAAAATTAAAACTGAAGTACCAGTTCTGTCTAGGGTCATAGAATAAGCAAGGGCCAAGATCAGAAACTAAGTCCTCTGATTCTCAACCTTAGGCTCACCTTGGGTCTTAAGGAAGTAAAATAGGATATGGAAATAAAGAAAGAGTATATACCAACCAAGAAAACGGCAGTGTGCAAGTCATTTGGTGGAGAAAACAATGGCAAAATACAATTATTCAATAAGGTTGGGAATAAGGTGGGGAGAGCCAATGAGGGGAAAGGCTAGGGAAAATTTTTTGAAGAGATATTTAGCATTATAAGGAATCTCAGCAGGGACTATGCCTTGACTGATCTACAATTCCTCCATTACTTGCAGTTTCAAATTAGAGAGTTAAGCAAAATTCCAGTGAGATAAAAAAAAAAAAAACTCTTTCCTCTGATACTTAAGCATCTCTCATTAATGCTATGGGAACATGTTCTTTAATTAAACAAGCAGGGATCAAAGGAAGTTGCCGAACATCTCAGAGACATCCCAGGCCAGCCAAAATTTTTCCAAGACTCTTTAATCTTTCTGGGTTTGATTCCTCAGTACACAGTTGGTAGATTTGTTCAGAGCATTTTGTATTCTCAATTAGAGTCTTGTATATATTACCATTTCCAAAAGAGGCAATCAAAGGAATTCAAGGCCTTTGTTAAATATTTATGCTTCTCCATTTCATGCTTCTCACTCACTTTCTTCTCGGCATGCCTCTTAATCCCCTGTGTTCCAGGTGTCTTCTTCTACCTGAGCTCAGCTGTCAATCCCATTATCTACAACCTACTCTCCCACCGCTTCCGAGCTGCGTTCCGGAATGTGATCTCTCCTTCCTGCAAACAGCGGCACTCCCAGAACCAGACACAGGGGCCACCTGTGCAGCGGAACATCTTCCTGACAGAATGTCACCTTGTGGAGCTGACTGAAGATGTAGGTCCCCAGTTCCCTTGTCACTTGTCCATTTGTAATTCTCGCCTCTCCACAGCTCTCTGCACTGGACAGGCGCTGAGAAAGGAACTCTCAAAGAGCTGACATTCCTCTTGCCTCCACACTGCAGGAAGGAACAACCCATAATTTATGCCTTCTTACATGATACTAAAGAAGTAAAATGACTCTCAGAATTTACATACCCACTTATTATTTTTTTAACAAGTGCGAACATTGCTACTTAAATTTGGATCTAAAACACAGAACCTCCTGATTTTTAGTTACCTTTCCATGATTTTAACTGCTTCATGCCACTTCACCAGTTCATGAAAAGAACATGACTAGCAAAGCACGGCACCTATATTTCGAGTCATTTCCACTATTGGAAATGGTTTGTCCTGTTATCCATGCTCTGAGTCCAGCTGTCATTCTTACAACCAACGGTTCCTGTGAGACACCAAAGGGAGACAAGTAGATGCTGTTCTACTCTGTATGATTTGAGGGGTCCGTGCCAATGTTCTTCCACAGTACACTATTTACCCGACTTCCTCCTACTGTGCCATTATAATGTGATACCTTGGAGTTGTGAAGCCTTTTATTTTGAGTCTCCCTGATAACACAGGAGCGCTCCTCAGAACTCAGAATTATTGCCATTGTTCCAATCCCCAAGTCGTTATCAGTCACCAGGAATGGAATCAGAAGTTCCACTTAGAGAAGAATGGGAGGAGGGAGAAGGCTATGGTGGAAGGTCCCAAGAGTCAAACCATACCCCACACAAACGTAGTTATTTTCATAATTTGCTCTAGATTTAGCTTTCTAACAGCTTATGTCATAAATAGACAGAGGAATAGTCTACAGTCTCAGAGCAAAGACAAGTCAAATGGTAGCTACTGGTCTCAAACCCATGACTTCCACCTATTCAATCCTTCATTACCTTTGTAACACTCATATAATATGGGTGAAATCTACTTTCCAGACTCCTCTTCCATTATATCATCACAAATAATATATATTCTAATCAACAGAATTACTCGCTCTTAAGAAAACACATCCCAGTTTCCCCAGCTGCATATCTTTGCTTACAACATGCCCTCTGTATCTCAGTCTCTATCCTTTGCTATCCTACCCATTCTTCAATGTCCAGTTCAGTGTGGTACCTCCTCCATGAAACCTTGCTTGATTTACTCCAATAGAAGTGGTATTTGACTTTCTTATCAGTTTAAATCTCTTAAGATTTTTCTCCATTCTGCTTTGTATTTCAGTGATTTATATTCTTGCTTTGCCAGAATGTAAATCTGTCAAAGGCATGAAGTATCCTGTGTTCATTTTTACTGTTACTGGAATCCTGACAATTTATTGATCACAATGTTAGATGTTCAATAAATGTGTAGTAGGTGAGCTGACTTCACATTCCAGTGTACTGAGCTGAACAACAGCTCCAAATGAAACCATGTTCAAGAGCCGTAAGACTAAGATGCTGTTTCTGACGTGGTGTCTGACCATCAGTTGGCCATTTAATTAGCCATGATTGTAATGGCATGCCTGCTGTGCCTGGGATGTGAGAAGGCTCTACTCAGTTCCAGGCTTTACTGATGCTGAAATACGCAAGTTCTAGCTGTTAGTCTCTCAATTTCTCCCAAGTTGAATGAACCATTCTACTAATAAACAGAGAATTGGTCTCTGACATCATCATTTCCTGACTGAACAGTCACCTTCAAAGTGACTCAATGTATTTTTCTCTTAGCTAATTATAAACCAAATTTAATGAATCCAGATTCTTAGTGATGGCTTATGTTGGTAAGCAGAATTCTCTAGTCATTTGCCAATTTAGCTGAAAAAACCCAGCAAAACAAAATCGCAGAATGAATGAAGATCTAAGAGAATAATTTTTAACATCAACCCCCAATGACCACGGCTAAAAAAGTTGCTGGTGGAGGCAGATGGATAGAGAATGAAACAACACTAAAACTGAAGGTAGTAATTTGGTTGCTTGATTAAAACTTTGGTCTCTTTTTTATTTTATCCTCATTTTGCCTTTTTTCTATTAAAATTTACATTCAGAAATTATCATTCATTCCTTCATTTAACAAATCTTCATTACCCATTAGATCATGCACATTGTGGTATCACCTGGCCTTTAAAGTATACATCTAATAGAAGAAATGATCATTTTTGAAAATCATTACAAAATGGATTGCTTAAATCTAACTGTGAAGCACGCTACAAAATCCAAATACAAGTACTATGGGACTATACAAAAAAGATGTTTGACCAAATCAAGGGGCAGTAGTTTTAATTAAGCCTAGCACTAAAAAACAGAAAAAAAGTGTTAATTGAGGTTTTGTCTATACACATACATCCACATGCATATATATACATATAGGAAACTTATGAAATGAAAATTCAAATGTCACAAGTCCTAGAGTTAGCTTATATAATAGTTCACACAAAATTAGTAGAATTAAAGGAGAAACTAAAACTAAATTGTTCAGTGTTACTCAGTAGTGGACCTCATCATCTCCTCATGAATTCCTTTTGATCCCTGAATTTTAGAATAATGCTAGATGAGGCCAGAGAGCGAACATGATTAATAAAATATTGGTAATGTAACCCTTCTGCAATGAAATGGTGACTTTTAAGCTCTCTAGTAATTCACAAATTTAGTGAAGTGAAGCAATGACATTCAGGCTGTGGTTTGCCAAATTAGTTTATCTGGCCCAAAGAGATTGCAGAGATTATTAATCTAAGACCCACGGACAAATTTCAAGAGGTACAAGAATCCCTTGAAATTGTATTGGTAATTCTTAGTGTGTATTTTTTTTTCTTGTAGAGAAAACTTACAGCTTTGATTAGCTCCTTAATGTAGTCTATGACTTATTTTTTATAATCACTACAGTGCCCTTAACAATCTTACATTAAAACACTTTCTTAATGGATGAGTTATAGTTGAATGAAGGCACTGCAGGATAATTAAAAAGCATCATTATTCAAACATAATAGTCTAGTATCTTTAACAATTAACTGTTTAGAGGTGTACTGGTGATGGCTTCAACTGGCATGCAAAAAGTTCATTGTTACATATTTAGGAAGTCTGAGAGGTTGCTGTCAAATAATTGGTAGCTTGAAATCAGCCACAGTGGGAATATTTACACCATAGGAATTGGCAAACATTGCACATCAGGGCATTTTTTCTCCCCTAGAGAGTGGCTTATCAGCACACCGCTAACTATCCATATGCTGGTAATCTTCCATCTTGCTGGAATATATGTGATTTGTTTGCAGAATAGATCCCCAATAGCACCGTTATAATTACAGACCACTTAATGCTGTGGTTAACTTACTGAAAAAATTAGTCAATGGATCAGATTTTGACCCAGAGGTACAAGATAAAATAAGCTAAAGCATGCTAATTATGACATGAAAGCCTCATCAGCATCTTAAAATTAATGTAGAGTGGAAGAATTACCCTTGGATGCTGTCCATTAATATTAGGGCAGAAAATAGCAACAGATCTACTTATCTGCCCTATACATCTGTTTTTAAATATCCCACAGGATTCACTGTAAAAAGATTCAAATTTTCCACATTCTATTTGGCTGGAGACCTCATTTTTTTAAACACATGAAAATGTACTATATAAACACTGTAAGGAAGCTTGAGATTGTACAGGCTTACGCAAGCGAAGGTTCAGTGTTCATCTAAACAATCTACTCCCTCCCTTTTTTTTATCCCTTTACATCATTAAATCACACGTGAATTCTACATTAGATATACATTTATGTTAGACTTCGGAAATATTTTCTACATAATGTCAATGCTTGAAAGTTGTAACTAATCTAAACATGGCCTAGAAATTGTTGAATATACCCAAATTATACTATTGCCAGTGAAATATACACATTGTGAAAAATACATACCATGAATTTACTAGGCTAGAATAATTAGACTGAGCTGGTTAATAAATGAATGAATGAATGAATGAATGAATGAATAAGACCATTCAAAAAGAAAAGCATTTCATTCCTTTCAAAAACATAAAATTACTTGTATGTTAAGAAGCCTACATTAATGCATTGAGAAGAACATTATGTTATAAACAGATATTTTGACAATGGGTCTTAATCAGGTTTGGGTAAAAGCTTGCTTATTTGAATATTGTATCAATGGAAGGAATATCATAATCTCATGCTTCCCTTAATAAACATGGAAACTTTTAATATTGATCCTAACTTTATCACCAATTCTTTAACCATAGAAACTGAATGAGTTTTAATTCCTAACACTCATTTGTAATCTTAGCTGAGTAAGTTCTCACAGCCTCACTAAGAGGGATTATTGCTATCACTTCCCCTTTCCGGTTGACAAGATAAGACTTAACCTCACTTTACAGTTGGAAAAACAGACAAGCACAAACCCTGGGACACACAAGAACAAGTGTTTACGTCTCACTCGTACATCCCCAGGTTGCTAGGCTGGCTCTACTCCAACCCAGACTTGGGTACAGACAAAGACACAGTGGCTCCCCGGAGTATGTGCTTCTCATGGCAACCAAGTCACACAGCCAATCCCAAAATTAGGGGGCCCAGAGATAAGCTCAAATCATCCTGAGGCCACGGCCCCACCAAGGGCGGGGCGTATAACACTGCCAGAGGGAATGAAATGCTGGGACTAAAGACACACATCTAGTAAGTAGCAGAGAGAGTTTAACCCAGAACCAGCTGACTCCAGTGCCTGAGTCCCCCCGATAAACTACACTGATTCCTCATGGGACTTTATTTTATTGAGGTCACTGAAGAAGCCTCTCAGTTTAACGTCATCCTTGAATATTACCTCTTCATTTACTTCCCGTTAAATCACTGATCCAGATGGGAGAGCAAGCATGGAAGTCAAGAGCATGAACACTACAGCCAGATGCCTGGGTTCAAATCCCAGCTGTAACATGATTAGCTGTATGACTTTGGGCAGCTTACCTAATCTCTCTCTGTGGCTCAGTTTCCCTGTCTATAAAATGGACATATATCAGGGCAATGGACATGAGGATTAAATAGGCTAATATACAATTTTTAACACTCCTAGGACACTGTTTGACCCCTAGGAAATGCTATAATAAGTGTGAGAAAATGATACATAGGGATGGGAGTATTTGTTCAAGAAGATATATTTTTAATATCATTTCATTTTGTTTACACTTTTTAGAGACTGCTAGTCTGTTTGACAGCAACCAAAGGTAAGATGATTTAAATGAACTCCACAACAAGAAATGTGTCAGGCGTTTATTTTTTTGTAGTCATTCCCATCAGATAAACAAGCTGCCCAAGATTTCATCACCAATTGCTAAGATTTCATCAATAATGAAGGCACAAATATGTAGTAAAGATTGTTTCTCTGTTCCTTGAAAGATTAATCAATATTATGATAGGACAGTCAGCAAAGGCACAAAGCACCCAGGATGCTAAGGACCGCCATGCATATTAATGGTTTCTGAAGGCCTTTGGCCTGTCTTCATCTGGGGAGTTAAACGTCTGATTTTTGGCTATCGGAATTAGAAGACAGGGTTAAGGATCTAACTACTGTGATCATTCTAGCATAAACACCAAGCTCAGAGATGACTAACAAGGAGACAAGCATCTGTCATGTTATTTCCAGTATATGTAGAAATAGAGGTTTAACAGCATCCTTGAACCTCAGTGTTAAATTCACATCATATACGGCTGTTTTATTGAGCACTTACTAGGAGGTAAATACTGGGCCATGTGCTTGATATCTTCATCAAGTAAACCTTATAACAATCCCCATTTGACAGATGAGATAACTAAGGCTTGAAGGAGATAACAGAGCTGCCATTCAGACAAACAAATAAGTGAAAGGGTCTGGATTCAAAGGCAGGAAGTCTGATCTGGAAACTGGTATTAACAGCTATACACCTATACTCTGTTCAGTCCCCCTTCCCAGTAAACACTAAATACATACCAAGTGGCAGACACTGAGCTAGATCTAAAAACACAGAGAACAAATAACAAGTAAGTTCTTATCCTCAAACTACTGGATGTGTGATTATTCTAATTTACTGACTGAAAGGAATTTTTTAAATTTTATTCAAGTGTAGTTGATTTCAAATGTTATTTTAGGTGTACAGTAAAGTCATTCAGTTATACATATACATACATACATATATATATTTTTTTCTTTCAGATACTTTTCCATCATGTTATTACAAGAAATTGAATACAGTTATCTGTGCTATACAGTGGGCCTTGTTGTTTATCCATTTCATATACAGTAATGTGTTTCTACTTTTTTTTTCTATATGCATTCTTAACTCTGACCCTGACTGAATGGAGACATGTAGCCTCTTTTAAACTCCTATATAACTTACAAAATTTATAGAAATTTAGAAAATGGAACATTCAAGATCATCTGGCCCAATATTTTTCTCATATATCAATAATATTTATTGAGACTTTTCCAGCTACTATACTAAGAACTTTTTATTTATCATCTGATTTAATCTTCTCAAGAATCCTAACAGATGAATGTAATTACAATCCTCATTCCATAGAAGAAAAACACATTTAACAGAGAAGTAACTTACCCCTAGTTAAACAGCTAATAACTGTTGAAGATGAGGTTTAACTCAGTTCCAAGTTGAGACGTTCAGCTCTGAGCTACAAATCTATGCCACTTGTCCAAAGCACAAAAAAGAAAAGTGGCTTGTCTACAATGAAACAGTGAGTGATACTGGTTGTTATCAAGGCGGATTTCCCCTCACTCCAGCCCATGGCTCCTCCCATATTTCACTATATTTGAATAAATGGGGAGAACCTACAGCCTGGATAATCTAGAAAACAAAGCATACTTAAAAAGCCTAACTCTTAAACCCATAGTCTTAGTCTTTGCACCCCATTAAAGAAGATTTCATCAACAGATGTATGTCTATTTGATTAGCTATAAAATTAGTTTGTATGCCCTATATACAGATCAATTCTTGACAGAAGGCTATAGCTTTAAAACATGCCTAGGTAAGTGTTACATGACTCACATTAAGAGTTAAAAAAAAAAAAAGAAGATCCCAAATCACACTTTGACTCAAACTGAAGAAATGTCTAAGAATCTAGATTTTTAATCTGTCCCCTTTAATTTTTACTTACTGGATCTGTCATTGCATTGCAGTGTAAAATGAAACAAAAATTGCACCAGACACTTGTTAAAAATGGCAAGGAAGAC